GATGTTTTATAGCCTTTTTCACATCACAAAAAGTATTTTTAATTCGAACCAGTAGTTCCTGAGATTACGCCGTAAAACAAACAAACAAACTCTTCAGCTTTATATATTAGTATGGATTATGATACGGTAACAAATTAAATCTTTTCTCATCTTCTTTGTGTCATAAATTTATACCAAAAGTGCCTTATCATGAATATTTATCGATCTTTTGCTAAGATTCCCAACGGCCTGTTTTTATAAGCAACATGTCGAGTGGAACCTTCTCAGCCCGGTCACCTCTTGAAGTGATTTGTAGCTAGGGGAGTGACGCCAGCCTACGCCGAATTATAAATGTTTTTATCGTGCTTAGACAAGTGTGAAATTAATATCCATCGCCTATTTTTCATCATAAATACTTGTCTGTTTTTCAACGTTATTTATTATAAACAGTTAAAGCGGCAATAGTCAGTTACATTAATTAGATAGTAGATTTAACAATTACACTTAAAAATAAGTTATTACAAATTACATCAGGACATAATTTCGAAGGCAGAAAATTCTTTCAGTATTGATGACCATTCATCTGCGAAGAGGTCCGTTTTGGGTCTTGAGGAGAGCGTTGAGTGAGGTTAGAATTCGCGATGTCAGCGAAAACGCGTGGGCTGAGTTGCGACTTCTAGGGGCGTCAAAGATATCGTGTCTTCTAGCGCGCCCATGGTTATCCGTAACAAACAGTCGACAGAAATCGATCTTTAAATAAGGATCACCGATTTGGTTTCGAACCAATTTAAAACCTACAATTAATTCATATTATAAATTATGGCTATGATCAACATATCGTCATTGTTCCCCACCACGTCCAACGTGTTTCAAATTTTTCAATTTATTACTTTTCTGAAACATGCTGGACTTCGTCTGGAAATCTGGATATTAAATGGATGGTAGGAATATAGAAATTCCGCCGGGTCACGAACCACCGTCCACACAATATGTAAAAGCCGTGAAGCTTTTCGGTTACAGTCTATGGATTTCTGAATATACAAAGCCAAAATAGGTCTCTTGTTTAGATGATACAGGGTAACACCTACCATCAAGTGAGCCCCCGCCATGTCTGTCCTCCTTTAAGAAAAACCAAATTTAACCAAGCTGTCATAAAAAATACAAAATAGGATACAAGTAGGGATAAAAGTTCCGTATTGGATACGGATTATATTTCGTTTAATGTATTACTCTAATTACCCTGCAATTCCATTCTCAAAAAATTAATAAATAAAAACGAAGTTATTTAGAGCCTTGAAACCAGATTTTACAGCTTCCACAATTATCTTGTTAATTAAGGACGCCGTAATTGTATTCTCTCAGTGGATACGTTTAACAAAATTTATTAACTAGTAGATGTAATAAAATGGACAACGGTTTATTTTCTATTAAATAAACTGAGTGATATTAAAATAAGTAAAGATTTATTTTTCAATTCATGATTTATTCAATAAGAAAAACGAAAACCTGAACAGGTTAAACCTAATATGGGAGAGAAAAAAATATATACAAATACGTTAATATAATAATGAATTAACAATGAAAACAAGAAAACGTCTTAAGGCCCTCGATTAATGTTTTATTTTATTATTATAAAATAGATATTAGATTTGTAAGTAATTTTACGGGACTGTTCAATTATTAATTTAAATGATATGAAACATGTACAAATATATTTTCTCTTTAAATCTCATATATTCATCTACTGCCTAATTTTATTATTACAAAAGATTCTACAAAATAAAATTAATTTTATTCAATACTATACACCTCCTTTGCACGGTATTACTGGTATTATAGCCGTGCAAAGCAGAGGTGGACTAAACATTTCAGAAGTTATAAACTTTTCACACACACACCCAAACATTGTTCTTATGCGAGTGTTTAATTAAAAGAGTTAATTTATGAACAAAATACAAATATTAAACATATAAATTCCTTAAAAGCAATTGTTTATAATTCTTTTAAATAAAACACTGTAATGGTTTGAAACGCGATATACGCTTGACCACGCCTGCTTCAAAGCATCCGAAACGTCGGGCCGAAGTTAAAAATAATTTTAAATAAATTTATCTAATATATCGTGTTTTAAACCGTTGAAGTGTTTTATTTAAATGTGTACTACTCGCGTAAACTATATATGTATGTACTATATGTATTTTAAATACTGTCTATAGTGTATATAGTATTTTGTTTAAAGTCCGGTAAGTTTTGAACTTTTTATTGGTTTATATTAGTAGGAAAATTTCCTTCCCTAAGATTAAACTGTTGCGCCACAGTAGATTTTGAGTTTACGAATTAAAAAGATACACACAAAAATACACATCTTTACTCTTTATAATATTAGTGTACATATATAATTATATTATATATATATAGTAGTAACTTTGAAGAAATAATAGTAAAAAGCAAAGCACGTGAAAATAGCTAAATTAAGTGGGAAAACCACAACACTCGAGCACTCGACTTCAGCCAGCGTTAATTTTTCACTCACTAAATCAAATAACGGCTCTCTTGTTTTCACTGACAGTGTAGATCACAGTGTTGACATTTCACTCGAATAATGTGAATATAAGCTTATTTACGGTGGTCTCCCTCGGGGAATTGTTACTTACTTAAGAGGTACTTGTTGCAATTCCAAACGGTTTCCGGAGCGTTTTGATTTCTTTACTTGAATGTTATTTTACTGTAAGATGTAAATATTAACGATTTCTTATTTTCTCACACGTTCAAAGGGTAAATATTTAGATCATAAAGCAGATTAGATTACGTTTACAAGTGCAACGGTTTTTTTTATAACATAGATTTTTTTAAATCTGTCAAAGTCAAAAGGAGCGACAGATTTTAATAAAACAGTTGTAACTGTTTAATAGGTAAATTTCCGTTTTGAACCGTTAAAAAATCTTTAATTTAAATAAGTGCTACTTGCGAAACTGGCAATGCGCACGACAGATGTTTATAAGATTTGACTGCTAACATCAGGCATGAATTCCAACTATAAAATGTATGTTTTTATTAATCATTATTACTTCCATTCCATAAATAAATACTCTTAATGTGTACGTGACCTTGTATTAAAATTGTATTTAAGTAGCTTTTGCTCGCGCAAATATAAAAGATTTCAATATTATTTGAAAACGATTCATACTATGTTTCACGTACACTTAAATATACAAATTAAAAATGGTATGTTCGTAATGGACTTGTAATTATTATTTTTATGAGTCGGGTAAACTATATTACAAATAAATTCAAATGCTTTCTTTGAGGCCGTTACCGAATTACCAGAATAACTCCTTATACGCCACAATATTTCTGGTCGCGTGCCGACATTGCTAAATTAAATTTGAAGGCGCTCTGTGTTCTGTTAAGCACAAAGAGCATGTTTCATACCATCATAATTTACCGAGCGCAGGCAATTTTAAAGACAAAATGGGGCATGCACCTTGTAAGATAAAAGTAATAATGGATATAATGCCTTGTATAGAAACTGCGATCAAAAAGGGTTCCCGTGTTTAAAAGATATAAAATGCCGTGGCAACCAATATATTTTATTCAAAATCATCTTAGCTTCTAATATATATACATATATAGTAATATAGCTAAAGAGTTTGTTTCTTTGATCGCGCTAATCTCAGGATCTACTCGTTCGAATTGAAAAATTATTTTTGTCTATGTTACAATATTTATCGAGAAAGTCTTTAGACTATAAAACATGAGGCTGTGGCCAATAGAAGCTAAGAAACAGGAAGACACGTGGAACGAACGGAGAAAGTTATTCATCTTAGAGGGCTTCCGGTACGTGCACTGTTAAAACGGTTCATGAAATCGAACAAATGATACTTCTTTAAAATATTTGAAAAAATGACAGCATATGTATATCTTTTAAGATAACAAGAACGACGTGACAGGATGCGCATGGCGTGAGTCGTAGGTAACAGATATAATTTATAAAACTCAGCAAATAGTTATATAATGCCCGAATTTTTTCCACGCAGATGAAGTCGCTAGCACAGCTAGTGTTTATAACAATCCTGTTACTCTAAACGAGCTTTACATTTTCGTTTTAATTTAATTATAATCTGTAACGTTATGCTGAGAAGTGTCTGAAAAGTTATATACTTTTTAATAATTTGCCGAGTTTTTTTTGTTTCCTCTGATAATATTTTTTAAGTATCATTGGTTATACATTTACATCTTTGTGTTACATTCTGTCAGCGTACTCAAATGCTTAAATAAGTACAAAAATCAAAATTAACTGAACTGAACTAAATATACTAAAAAAAGGATAGTCATATTAAAAATATTGTTTATTTTTACTTTCTACTGTATAATAAGTAAACGTATGCAATAAGGATACATACAACGAATTATAAAATTGACTTACTGTCAAGGGTTAATGTTGACTACATATAAATTATAGTTAACAATAAGAATTGGAATTATATTATATTATGGTGTGAAATATTACTAGTCTTTTAACTGGTAAAGATGTTCTTGGGATTAGATCGTTATTGCTTTAAAGTTGAATTAACCAACTAAAAGAACAGTATTTTATAAGTTTATTGTTTCTCAATAACGAGTATCAATAAATGTCACATATTATTAAATATTAAATTATATAAGTATTGTATATTTATACATTTTATGTAAATACAAGTTTTATTTAATTTAAAAACTTTAAACAATAATTACCGTTAAAAATATAAAATCAGCAGGTTTTCCTCAAGACTTTATCGAGGATAACATTCTGAAGATATACCATTTCTTAAGTGTTATAAGATATTAAGAATATAATATAAAGGTGTACGTAAGAAGAACAATCACAAGTTTTACAATAGTACACCGGTTCCTCAATACCATGTCAACAGTCTCATTAGACATATTAAAATATGTAGGTAAACAATAGTATCTAAATGCAAATTCAGTTTTACCATTTCAAGTATATCAATAATTCTATATTATTATTCTTATTCTTAATCCTAGTGAGATGCATCCACCGTCGCCTTCTGTATTGACTCCTCCATGCTTCTTAAATATCTATTAAGAGATTTTGACGTATTTTGAAGTATACTTAAACCTAATCGATACTTAAACTCGACTAACCGTTGTAAAAAGTCAAAGAATCCGTTACCAGTTGAAGGTGGGGGATAAGTTAATATCTCTGGAAAAAGTGGATTTGTTGGTTTACTTGTTGTTTCTGGTGTTGGGAGTTTTACTGGAGTACTACTTTTGATATCTGTTGTTATCTTCTCCGATGTTTCTTTAGATTCATCGGGCGAAGAAGTCTTAACGGTCGTTCTGTCGTTGATCACAATGTTTTCTGTTGTTTGAACAATTGGCACAGTCGAAACGCTTTCAATTATTTCGTTATTTTCACCACTTTCCGTTTTAATTGCCATCGATTCTATGGATTCCGGTATATGAGGAGCATAACCGAGTGTGTCATCAATTTCATTACTTAAGACAACATCTTTTTCTCTTTTATTCGCAGCTTCTAAAAACTCATCAATAGCTATACCTCGATTCGAACGCGCACTTCTCCGTTTTCTATTTAATTTCCTTGGACCATGTTCGGGTACAACTGCCGGTGTTTCAGAATCAGTTAACTCCTTTGGTACGTTACCGACCACAAATTTATTATCACCGCTCTCTGAATTCGTATCAGAATCTTCGTCGTACTTTATGTTTTCTCTTTCGTCTGATTCATTATTTGATCCCAGATACATTGACGTGGGGGAATAGGTTACCGGACTACTTGTTGTTTCTCCATAAAATTGATTGTCATAGGGATATACTGGTTTGAAATCTGTGTCTGCTGACGGCTTAACTCCATATACTACTGAACCGGAAGAGTCACTTCCATATGCAGATATTTCAGACGGACCTGTTTGTGGTGCGGCATAAATAGGTTCTACAGCGGGGTATGCTGTTGTATAAGCATGTCTAGTTTCGTACTGAGGGCGACGGTGGTAATTAATAGGTTCAGAATATACAGCACCGTGAGCAATCCCAGTTTTTTGCTGTGAATAATGAACATTGTAGTTTGGGTCATACTTTGTTACATGTCGGTATCTAGTATCTTGTTGGTTTGGATCTTTTTTAACAGGATATCGATTGTTAAAAGTTGTTTGTGCCGCGTAAGGGTTTAATTTTTGCTTAGCATGAGCAGGCATTCCAGCAAGCACCGTTCCCAACATTTCTTCTTCAGGTTGGCCATTTCCTTCACTGGCGTATTCTTCAGCGTTATTTCTATAAATATCATCTTTTTTATCAACTTCAAAGGTCCTTCTTACTGGAGTGGCAAATGGATATAAGAAATAACTCGCGATACCAACCAGACCAGCCAACCCTATAACACCAACGCCAACTGATGGCATTACCTCTCGTGAAAAGTAATTGTATATTTGACTAGTAAAAGGTCCAGTTACAGCTGTAGGTTTCTTAGATGTTTTTGTGGTTTTTGTTTTTGTCTTGTTTGCAGTTTTTAGCTCTGTTGAGACACTAGTTTGGATTGGTTTTGGCTTAGAAGATTTACGTTTCTTCGTTTTAGATTTCTTTTTTGTAGATGATCGCTTAGGTTTTTTTGTCGTTGTTGCTGGCGTACTTACTTCTAATTCAATTTCTTGTTCTTTTGCTTCCATCGGCATCATCGCAGACTCATGAGTTATAGGCGCTAACGTAGTAGTAGTCTTTTGTTTATTTTTGTCCTTCTTTTTGCTTGGCTTAGATGTCACTTTTACAACAGGAATGGATATTTCCTCCTTTGTAGCTGTTTCTTTTTTTACCGATATAATTGTCGTTGAAGCTGCTGTAGTTGTCGATGGAATTGTTGTTCGAGAAGGGATGTTTTTATTTTTCTGTACATTTGACAAAACAGTATCTTTAATTTTGTTGTAAACATTTTCATTTATGGCTGAACCACTAGCTATTAGATCTGACTTATTGGTGCTTCCTATTACTGGCCTTTTTGGTAAAGATGGCTTGCTTTGAGGTCGTTTAGTCTTGTTTTTTATGGGCTTAGATTTTTTGTTATCTTCTACTTTCGTTGGTTCTGTAGACAATGTGGTGTTTTCTTTGCTTACCGGATTATTTAATAGAATCCATGTGGAAATCCCTTCTTTTGATGTAGATGATTGACTGGAGGAGGGCTGATTTAAACTGTTTTCTAATTCGAGCTCTTCCATAGTAACTGGAACAGCAACACCAATGTGTGAATCTTCAATAAGCTCACCAGCATCTTCTAGCCGAGTTCGAATTTTTTGATTTTGAACAAGTTGGTTTTTTAACTTTGGAGGTATTCTTGTATCTGACACAAGAGGTGTTACAGACTCATTTAGTGGTTTTTCTAATAATTGATCAGCAACAATTTTAATCGATTCCTTAATGACAGGAGTTTTATTTTTTACTTCTCTTGATGAACTGCCTTCTTCTTTATTTGAACGTTCCGTGGAAGTATTTTGTCCGGTAACTTTTACTTCAAGGTCTCTGAAATATAAAAAAAGGCATATTAATTTAGATCAGGAAGATAGGAATAATAAATGGTACTGTAGCTTTACCATTCGCAAGAATTTAAGCAAAAGTAATGTGATATTTAGGGATTAGAAATAAAACAAGTTTTAATTTCTTCTGTTTAATTCTTAAAATACATTTATGGGATAATGCAATGTACTTATTAAAGGTTGAACCAGTAGCGAATTTTAACTCGGTACACAATATGATGACTAATCAATGTTTTAAAGTACACGACTTAATAAATATAAAGTTATGATAGAAGTTGCAAAATTATCATTTTAGCTTTTCTATGTTACTGTATTTAATAACAAACATGATGATGATGATGATAACAAAAATGATATTAGTCAGTTTATTCAGCTAAAAAATCGGTTAGATATTTATTCATCATATATTAAAAATATGAGAAATTATTTATTTTAAAATTCTACTGCTCTTACACTAACCAGTTAAAATTAACTTAAGATTTATAAAAAAAAAACTACTAAACGGTAACTCAGTTAAAATATAAGGTTGTTTGTAAATGTCCTCAACCTTTTTTACTCTCTTTATCTTAGAAATGTAGATATGATTTATATAATAAATAATGCTAATTGATAGTAAAAAAATAAATAATGTTTGTAACAGTTCATAAATCGACAGAAAATGTTAAAGAAATGCAAAAATAAATATTTCTACTTTCACAGAAATTTACAACCCATTCTGATGCTCCTAAAAATATTAAAGCAATATCAAAATTAAAAGAATAATTACGTTATTTCATCCCCTTATATTTTTTATTTTTAAAAACTTTTGCTAATGTCGTAATCCATAATCTTACTCTGTCTAACCAAGTTTGCTTCTTCGCTACTTTAACTTTGCGTTCTGAATCAGTAACTACGAAAGCTGGTGCGTGGTTGCGTGGTGTCCAATTTCGATTACTATATTGTGAATGTAGATTCCATATTTTATGACTATTATCCCAGTGCCACTGTGGTTCAAATATATCTACATCCGGGGCTTGTCTAGCATAACTTAATACCCAAGGAGCAAATAATGCTGCTAATCCCGAAGTACTAGCAACCGTTAGAATTATAGGTGTCAATATAAAAGATAGAGCGGGAAAACTCAAGGGATTTATAGATGCTAGCCAACTAAAAGCCGATATAGCAGGACGAAAAAAGTCTACAATTACTGATAATCCAAACCCATCATCGTTGGCACTGTCTTTATTAGGACGTGATAAAGCGGATACGGGCGAACTCGGTAAAGCTATATTTGAATTTTCAACTGATTCTGCTTCAATTACGCCATTAGCAGCATTATAATTTGATAGCTCCAGACTCTCGATTGGAGCACTATCGTTTTCTTCATCTTCTTCCGTATAATCATGTGACGCTTCTTCACTTTCAGAATTATCATTTGGAAAACCAAATATATCGGTTAATGTAGTATCTGTATCTTCTTCTGATTCTACAACAACATTTTTATTGACAACATTTGTATTTACTGCAATATTAAGATCTGGACAAGCCTCTTTTGCTTGACCTTGAAAAGTATTATTGAGAGTAAGAAATATTGTTGGACAATCATCAGAAGATGCAGCATACTCTTCTGGTCTTATAACTATTCTATCGGTGTAGCCTTGTGTAGGCGGAAACGTGGTAACTTCAAAGTTACCAGGATACTGAGGATAGTTATTGTGATTATATGAAGGCTTAGTATATTTAATAGGTTTTGCCGTAGTTGGCTTTAGAGTGTTGTGAAAACGTTCGGGCCAGGGTTGTGGATATCCTACATTTGTAATTATAGGAGTAGGTGTCGGGGTGCTAAATATAAAAGTTGGTCTAGTTGCGGAGTTATATGGATGCTTGTCAATTATATGAATATTACTAGTGTAAATATGTGTTTCTTCAGAATTATCATGTTGGGGATAATTATAACTTGAGTAAATTTTGTCAGATGCTTGGTTGTCTTTGATTAATTCAGTACTAGTATAATAATTATGAACGAATGAATCTGGTTCCTTAACACCATAATACTCTCCTGGTGAACTTTCTGGGGTAACGCTATCTATCCATTTGGTTATAATTTTTTTAACCTTACTGTTATTTGAGCTTGAGTGTATTCTATTATTTTGTGACTTACGCTTATTTGTTTCTGAACCTTTCTGTCTAACTCTAAAATTCTTATGAATAACTCGATTTGTCCTTGCATTTTCTCTTTGAGCAAGATTATATCTTTCGTTTATCAAAAAGGGACTGCTGTATTTATATTGTAAATAACTATGAGGAACATAATTATTATGAACTACAGTATTATTTAATCCAAAACTCGTATTACTATCAAGTGGAATTAGGCTATTTGCCCTAAATCTATACCTTATTGGCGTTTCTGTTGTCTCAGCATTACTAAGTGATGTTGTTAAAGAGTCTTGTGGTCGCGATTGTACAAACGCACACGAAATTAAAACTAACACTAAAGTCTTTTTAAATTCACTTTTCCGACGCGTCATCTTAGCAACAGCTTAGTACCTGAAACAAAGAAGCAACAATTAGCACATTTTAATAAACAAAAATAGCTAGTATAATTTCGGATCCTATTCAACATCCATCATAGAATATAGTTCTCGTTTAATCTGTTGAAAATATTACTAAACTGAGCACTAACTTAAGTATTAATTACTTCCAATGAATATTACAACATGATTTAAATTTGATTAGTTAACATTTAAGATACATCTTTATATTCACTAATAGAAAACCTATTAAAACGAGAAAGGAACTATTTAGAAAGATTTGAATGAAAACTCGTTCTACGCAATAAAAACCGTTATGTGCTAACGAAATAACGAGCTACTATGACTTTTATTTGAATGTAACACAAATATTTATTTAAATTTTCCATTGGTATCAGTATAAGGTCTTCTTATTTTTTTAAATTCAAATTCTAAGGTTGTATTTGTTATTAAGATCTTAGAGGGTGCAATTAAATTTATCGGTTTTACTGAGTTAAGAGAATATTCTAAAATACTGAGCTATTTCTTACATTATTGAAATAAATAATAACATTTACAACAATATCAAAACAAAGCTGAAAATATAACAAAACACCTCAATGATAAGACGACACGTTTTAAAAGGTAAACTTTTAGCTCTTAAATAAATAAGTACCGCGTTAAACAAAACAAACATTCTTGTGGTTTGCATTTTTTAAGCAAGTTTAAGTATGTGCAAAACAAACTAATGTATGAATCATTTTCTTTGTCTTTTACTTATTTTTACATAGAATTTATTTGAGTGTCGTCACCACAAAGCTTTGATTTAAAGTTGATAAGTTTATGATAGTTTAAGGATTGGAGAGGTTATTAAACACTGTCTATAGTTTACACGAGTAAAACATATAAAGAAAAATATATTAGTTAAACTTAATTAAACATTATTTAAGCTACTGTCACGGGGAGACCTAACTGTCTTTTAATTAAATGAAATTTTTAAAATCGATCCAAGTTATCATTAGTAACGTCATAGGCTTACAATATTTTACAATGGATTTTTGGGCAATGATTTTTAGAATGCAATATTTAAAAAATCGAAAATAAATGAAAAGAAATGTTCGACTCGGGCAGAACTTGAACCGGCATCGTCAACGTTCCGTGTTGTTGCTCTCTCAATCGAGCTACCGAGTCCTACAACAACGCGGAACGTTGACGATGCCGGTACAAGTCCTGCCCGAGTCGAACATTTTAAATTATATAGTGCCTGCAGGTGCAATAACTTGTAAAAATAATAAAGTTTTCAAATACAATATTTTAAATACAATTTTGGTTGAGTTTAATTATTAAAAGAACGGCAAGGTACGTATTGTTCGTTGCGCCCCTATCAAAAATTATTTGTACGAGCAGACCAGTGTTATTACTTATAGCTATCGCTTCAAGCATATGACACAAATCTATTGCTATTACCCAAAGAAAGAAGCTTACAAGCTTTTTGCATCAGTGCAGGCGATTATCGCGAATCGCAACATCATTAACCGAGTTCAATGACCTTGCGGCCGTGACATAGACCTCAAGTGGGCAAACATCGCGTTACTGACCTACATTGAGACCGGTCTATTTTTCCGTTACTTCGAATCCTTTGAGACCTTAATATTCATAGTCAATTTCGGCTTTGTATGTCAATGTGTATGGTTTAAATGAGACCTACTTAATACAATAGCTGTTTTAAGTATTGTCTGTAGTTTGCGAGAGTAGTTTTAGGAGAAATGCTACCCTGAAATAAAACACTTACTTGTAACGATTTTAAACGCATTGTAAAGAAAGTGACGTATATATTCGCGTAAACCTAAAGTAGTAGTAGTTTTACAATTCTTAACAATATTTTATAAATACCTTGTGAAGTGGGAAATCGGATTTCCAAGTCGGTATGTGGATTTCTAAATGTTCAAAGTAAAAAAAGGTCAACGGCGCATAATTCACAGATGTTATAAGGTGGAAGTATTCCAGCTGCTATCAAGTGAAGCGCAAGCTTGTCTATCCGCCTTTGTAATAAAAATTTGTGTGTGTGCTTTTTGTGTGCCGTTTGAGAAAACGATATCAACGTTGCTGGACCGAAATAATTTATTGTTTTTCCCGGTTCGAAATCGAAACCTGTCGCACTTAACCCAATTATCGTCAAATTAACCAATAACCTATGGATGGCGTCTACGTCATACACAAGCATAGTAAATGATTAATTTTCAAATTTGTCATTTCGAATGACGAGAAATATATATAAAATCGTCTTCACATAACTGTGACAAAGTTTAATAAGTTTTTTAACCCACTTTTACTCGCATTGAGTTCGTTACCTCAATTTCAAGACTCGATTAAGATGTATCCAGTATTCTTACAAGAAGAAAATTAAAAAACCTTAACTTTATATATGAGGCTGCTAGAGGCAGAGTGGCCTAATAACAAAAAACTTGAGTTTCAATAGGGAGGAAGTTAAATTTGGCGGACACAAACTTGTAATATTATTTGTGAAAGAATTTTGGTCACTGTGTTCTTACAGATTAACATTTTAAGACTATAAAAATATAAATAACTCAAGTCATAAAAATACAGTTAAGAGACTGCCTCCAACGGCCTCATAATCTGTAAGATACATGTAATAAGTTTATCTCTAACGTCGTTCGAAACCAACTTATGTAATTGAATTTTGGTTACTTAATTTAAAACTATTGTTTGTATTTACGTAATATACTTCGTATAGATATTCAAATGCAAAAGTGTGCATAATTAAATGGACATGGTATTTAACATTTTTGTTAGTTTTAAAATTATTTCACGTTCTTTGCCTTGTCTAAAAAGAAAATTCTCGACGATACATATATTTCAGAGTTCTTGAAATATAAAATTAAATATGGTTTATTTTGCTAAGATAACTTTTAAAATAGATTTCTTGTAAGCAACGTCTTGTTTTTTGAGAATTACGAGTCTTTGCAAATATGCTATTAAGAACTAACCATGAAGTGTTTGTTTGAACGCGCTATGTCAGGAACTACTAGATGAATTGAGAAGTTATTTTGTCTTGGTTAGACTAGTTAATGAGTATGGCTTAAGGCTATATAACATCGCACGAAAGAATGATTCCCCTTTTAATAATTAAGGGAATGGCCGCGACAGTATGTCTATCTTTTCAGTTACACTCACAAGATCCGTTTTTCAAATTTTGGTCGCACACTAAACATGGCAACGTTTGCCAAGTCAGCTAGTTATCAATTTAATTGAATCTGTGCCCCATCGGCCCCGGACTCCGGACTCTACTATTATGTTAATCACATAACAGAAAGGCGTGCATCGGAATGCGTCTTTTCTAGTTTACATTCAAGTTTTATAACGTACACTTACTTACGATTGCTTATGTTTTTACTCTTCCATAACTTATTATTTACTGTCTGTAGTTAACGCGAGTAGTAAACATGAAAAAACACTTTTAATAGTTTAGTACGCGGAATGTGTAAGTTAAACTTTACAAAATATTTTAACTACGGATGTTTTTCTGTAAAGCACCTGAAACGCGTTTTAAACGATCAAATGTTTTATTTACATGTCTCTAGTTGCTTTACAATAACTATGATAGTAAAAATATGACTCAGTATGGGATTTTTTTTAACAAGTGGTGGGGTTTTTTTAATTTTTTCTTAACAACTTTTTGATTTTTTTTTAACCCCCTTTTTAAAATTTTTTTCTTTTTTTTGGGCTTTTCCTTCTTTTTTTTTTTAAAAGGGGGGTTTCTTTTTTTTTTTTTCCGGGGGGGGTTTGGGGGGGGGGGGGGCGGGGGGGGGTGGCCTAATAACAAAAAACGTAATCGTCAATAAGTAGATAAATAAAACGCGCAATTCACTGTGGCGAAAATGAATTAGTACTATATAAATTAAAAACCGAAAATAAATCGAAAAAATGTACTATAAAAATGTAAATAACTGAAGTCATAAAATTGCAATTAGGCTACTCTGCCTCTAGCGGCCTCAAATTTCAATTAGTCTATGCTAATATTTCGAAACTCGAAATCCTAAATACGACTTCCTCCAATATTTTCCGCTTTACTTGACAGTTGTTAGTATTCTTTGACGCAACGGTTGGGTTACACATTGACACAGTGAAAAGAACTTCCTTAAAGACGTCTACAATTTACCACAGGTTACCATTAAACGGTAGCGCTCGCCTGTGACCGTTATTGCATTCGCTTTGTTACGCATTTCTTAATGACATATTATTTAGTTTCGATTTGTGTAACTTTTTTTATGACTGGCCTATATTTTGCTTCCTTTAGAACTGCCATAATAATACATATATGTATATCATTACTAATATTCTACATTAGCTGTGACTTCGTCCGCGTAGAATAGGCGTATTTTGGGCAACAAAATCTTTATATATTTTAGCTGTTACCTACGACATCGTCCGCGTCCCGTCGATCTTGCAAGTTACTCTTAAAAGAGATATAGACATATTATATACTGTCGCGGACATTTTTTTAGATAGTTTAGAAGGAATCATTCTTTCATACATATTTTTTGGCTATCTTGAAGGGCTTTCGCAGCACACCCAGTGGAAACCCTTAAAGATGGATAATTTAACCTTATTAGCATGATGTTTCTCGATAAATGCTCTAACACAAAAATAGTTCCTGAGATTAGCGTGTTCAAACAAACAAACAAACTCTGCAGCTGTATAATATTATATAATGCCATTACTAGATATAATTTCTTTCTTTTCGAGTTTAAAAGTTTCGAATTTAGACTGAGTTTTTAAGTTATTTTTTTTATCATTTTACTTATTTTAAATTTTATTTTTTTAAAAGAATTGTTGTTTTAAATAATATTACGATATATAAGATTCCGATACGAATTTATCTAGTTAACCGGTTCTTCTTCACTTATTATGCCGTTAAAAATCACCGTTTTGAATTTACGCATTGCTTGTTAAACAGTTAATGCAATTACCTGCGATCATTACAGAATTATCGAATT